GAGACTTCAACTCAAAAAAAAAAAAAAAAAGAAATCTTTGCCTAACACAGGGCTTAGATGTTCTCCTGTTTTCTTCTAAAATTGTTGTTTTATTGATTACATTTAAGCCATTTGATTACATTGAAGTCCATTTTGAGTTAATTTTTGTGTATGGTGTGAGGTGAAGGTCTAAGTTTATTTCTGCACGTGGATAATCAATTGTCCCAGCAGAATTTGTTGAACAGACTATTCGACTATTCTTTCCCCAATGATATTGCCTTAGCACCTTTGTCATAAGTCAGTTAACTCTAAATGTAAGGATTCATTTATGAACTTTTAGTTCTGTTCCATTGATCTTTATGTCTATCCTAATGCCAGTACCACTGCTCTAGGCAATTTTTTTTTGTTTTTTGTTTTTAGACTGATGGGATCTTATTATGTTGCCCAGGGCTCACACAATCCTCTCACCTCAGCCTCCCAAAGTGCTGGAATCACAGGCGTGAGTCACTCCACCCTGCCACTGTTCTAGGAAGTCTTAATGCAGAGAATTAATATATTCTGCAAGCCAATGACTCCTCAGACCTTGAGGATGATAACTGCAGAACATGGGATTCAGATAAAGATGTTTATAAATAGCTTAGAAACAGCATAACAGGCCTCTGATAACGTATGTTGGATTGAGATAGTACTGATCTCAAATTCCACTAATTCTAATATGCCTGTAAAAAAACCATATCTGTAAATAGTGTCAATAGTCTTATAGAGAATATGATACATCGATTGGCCTTGTTTGCAAGACGTCCTAGGGTGGTCATCAGTGGACTGCTCCACTTTTCAGACTGATATAGCTAGGTCAAAACAGTCAGTCCTCCCTCTTACTAGGATCTAACTGAAAAATTAAATTTGCAACTATAATCAAGCCAGAAATATAAACTGACTAGAAGATAAAAGCCGGGCTCGGTGGCTCAGCCTGTAATCCCGCGACTTTGGGAGGCTGAGGTGAGTGGATTGCTCGAGCCTGCGAGTTCGAGACCCGCCTGGGCAGCGAGACCTCATCTCTACAATAAATCAAAAAATCAGCCGGGCATGGTAGCGCGTGCCTATAATTCCAGCTACTCGGAAAGCTGAGGCAGAATGATCGCCGGAGCCCAGCAGGTCGAGGCTGCAGTGGCCGGGAGCAGCCACTGCACTCCAGTCTGGGCGACAGAGTGAGATTCCAACTCAAAAAAAAAAAGAAAAAAAAGAAGATAACAAGTTATTTATAGTAGAAATTAGACCTATTGGCAAATCTGAGTCTCTTCTGCTTCTAGACAATAGGATTGTATTTTCCTGGCCTTTTTTTTTTTTTTTTTTTTTGAGGTAGGATCTTGCTCTGCTGCCCAGGATACAGTACAATGGTTTGATCACAGATCATGATTCTCCCACCTCAGCCTCCCAAAGTGCTAAGATTACAGGCATGAGCCACCATGCCTGGCTTTGGCATTCTTGAGTTTAGGAATGGTCATGACCTGATTTGACCAACGATATAAGTAATGGGTAGAAATTTGGAGAGCCTGAGATCAGGCACTGTGGCTCAAGTCTGTAATCCCAGCACTTTGGGAGGCTGAGGCAAGAGGATTGTCTGAGCTCAGGGGTTCGAGACCAGCCTGGGCAACTTGGCAAGATTGCGTCTCTACAATAAATAAAAAAATTAGCCGGGCATAGTGGCTCACGCCTATAGTTCCAGCTAGTTGGAAGGCTGAGGCAGAAGGATCACCTGAGCCCAGCTGGTTGAGGCAGAGGTGGCTGTGATTGTGCCACTGCACTTTAGCCTAGGCACAGAATGAGACTTTGACTAAAAAAAAAAAAATTAGGTTCCAGAACTCATCCTAGAAAAAGGGTTACATACCTCCTTGCTTAATATCACTATGGTCACCTTTGAAGTACTCCCCTTGGGAAGCTATGCACTGACACCAGCACCTAGTCCACCCTTCAAAGCAGTTTTGGAACTCTTTCTGGAATGGCTATCAGAGCTGTCTTATTTGTTGAGGTCTGACAATTAAGTTCGAAACTTGTCACCATGTCCTTACTTTGGCAGCACTGTACAAATAACTATTGGAACACCCTCCCTACCCAGCGAATCTGGCCCTCAATGGCTTTTTTCTTTACCCGAGGAAAAAGGAAATATTGAAAGGAAGACAGTTGATTACATTCAGGACATCAAGGGTAATATGACGACAGCTCTGGTGGTCATTCCAGAAAGAGTTCCAAAATTGCTTTGATGGGTGAACTAGGTGCTGGCGTCGGTGTATAGCTTGGCTCTAGATTAGAGGTATAGTGAAAAATGAAACTGAGAGCTACGAATGTCTCCCAGGTTAGAATAGTTAAGTATCAGGCCAGTTCATAGCAAAAATCAGAGCTGGGAACTGACCCAGGCTAAATAGCTTCAGTCAAAAGATTTGGGGAGCTGGGCTTGGTGGCTCAGCCTGTAATCCCGCGCCTTTGGGAGGCCGAGGTGAGTGAATTACCTGAACCCGCGGGTTCGAGACCCGCCTGGGCAACTTGGTGAGCTCTCATCTCTACAATAAATCAAAAAATTAGCTGGGTGTGGTAGCGCGCTCCTGTAGTTCCAGCGACTTGGAAGGCTGAGGCGGAAGGATCGCCAGAGCCCAGCAGGTCGAGGCTGTGGTGGTTGGGAGCGACCACTTCCCTCCAGCCTGGGTGACAGAGTGAGACTCCAACTAAAAAAAAAAAAAAGATTTGGAGAACAAAAGTAACATTCCCATTCACACACAAATAAGTATCAAGTGGAGAGCCTGGTTTATTACTAGCTGTCAGAGGCCCGACTACAGAGCAGGAACCAAACAGCAAAGAGCTGTGGGGCCAAAGAGGGCAGGGATGTCCAAGTTTCAGAAGGTGAAAGGAAGTCAGTTGAGCTGCCAGAGCAGCGTTGGGGCCAGGCTGAACAGAAGAGGCCAGGTCTCAGGAAGCCCAGTCCCACTCATGGCTACAGCATAGAACCTTGCCACCTCCTCATTGGGGTTGCCTTGGGCAGGGTCAAACCACATCTCGATGCAGCGGCCACTCCCTCGGCTGTAGTTGCTGACTTTGTAGGAGTGGCTCCAGATTTCATTGCACAGGGCCTCAGGTGTGGGAAAGTAGAAATGGAAAGAGTAGCAGGCAGATCCCACTGGGCACTCGTTATTTCCTGTGGGGAGATCGCAAGACCTTTGGTCACAGGGTCCAGAACTATCTCTGGTTCTGCCAGTACCACAACCCCCCCAAATCGTCACATAACCCATTTCCACTTCCAAGTCCCTCCCCAATCAGCCCACCTCATTCCTCACCTGAGGTCCAGTTCCAGCCCTTGTGCCAGTTGCTCTTGCAGGTGTAGGAGGTGCGACAGTCCTCCCACCACTGCTGACAGTCCTCCTTGCACAGGGGCACGTTCAGGATCCGCTCTTTGCGCCAGCTTTGATTCACCTGGGAGATTTTAGAGAAGCATTCAGGTTCAAGAATGCCAACAACCCAGCTCTGAATGGAACTGGAGCTGGAAGTGCAGCCCGCAGAGATGTCTGGAAAGCTCAGGCTCGGCTCCTCTGCTAGGTTGAGGGTGCCAGGAAGACACTTGTACCTGCTGGATCCAGGGTCCCAAGTTGGGGGAGCACTCGTAGAGACAGGTGTCCTGGATAAAGTGCCGTTTGCAGGCAGGTGCCATCTCTCCACAGTGGTCCCAGTTGAATCTGTATAGGTAGGAAATGTCCTTGTGGGCTTCCAGGCTGGTGTTGGTGGAGCAGCAGGCATTCTTCCTCCAGGGACTGCACTGGATGAGGAAAACACAGAACTAAGTCCATGGCTAGCACAGCCAGAACATTCCACACGCAGCTTCTCCCTTTTATTTATTAAATCCTGCGCCTTTGGGAGGCTGAGGTGAGTGGATTGCCTGAGCCCGCGGGTTCGAGACCCGCCTGGGCAGCGAGACCTCATCTCTACAATAAACAAAAAAAATCAGCCGGGCGTGGTAGCGCATGCCTGTAATTCCGGCTACTCGGAAGGCTGAGGAGGAAGGATCACCGGAGCCTAGCAGGTCGAGGCTGCAGTGGCTGGGAGCGGCCACTGCACTCCAGTCTGGGTGACAGAGTGAGACGCCAACTCAAAAAAAAAAAAAAAATTAGCCGGGTGTGGTAGCGCGCGTCTGTAGTTCCACTTACTCGGAAGGCTGAGGCGGAAGGATCACCAGAACCAAGCAGGTCGAGGCTGCGGTGGCCGGGAGCAGCCATTGCACTCCAGTCTGGGTGACAGAGTGAGACTCCAAATCAAAAAAAAAAAATTTTTTTTAATAGACACGAGGTCTTGCTATGTTGCCCAAGCTGGTCTTGAACTCCTGGCTTTAAGCAACCTCAGCCTCCCAAAGTGTTGGGATTACAGGAATGAGTCATCATGCCTGGCCCACTTCTTCTCAACCCAGCTAAAGTCATCTGGGAAAACATTTGCTATTGGAGACTTCCTTGGAGGAGGAGCTCTTAGAGGATGAGGAAGAGATCCCTTGCCTGGAGTTGCAGTCCTTACGCTAATTCATTAATTCAAGTCTCTATTGAACTCCCACTTACTCTAACCCAAACACTTTTCTAGGAAATAGGGATACAATGATGAACATCTGGGATAGGAGCTTGCAGTGTTATAGGGTGGTAAGATTAAGCCTCACTGAGAAGGTAACAAAGACTTGGAGGTGAGGAAGCCAGTTAAATTGTAACCACAGAATAGTTCCAATGACATAAACAACGCATACTTATTGAATGAAAGAAGACCCAAGGCCTAAATTTAGTATAAAGTTTAAGAAAAGAAAAACAGGCCAGGCATGGTGACTCACACCTATAATTCCAGCACTTTGGGAGGCTGAGGTGAGAGAACTGCTTGAGCCCAGGAGTTCCAGACCAGTCTAGGCAACATAGCAAGACCTTGTCTTTACCAAAAAAAAAAAAAAAAAAAAAAAAAAAAA